GTGTAACCCACACTGGCCTTGAACTCAAAGTGCTCTGCCTGCCTCAGCCCACTGAGTGCTGGAATTACAGGCATATGCCACTATACCTGGTTGGAAATTCCCCTTTTCCAGCTGGAATGGGAGGCAAAAGGTGGACACAGCGGGCCCTGAGGCCTGAGGCACAAGGGAGAGGAGAAGGGTCTGCAGCTCCTGCCCCAACACTGACCCAACCCTGACCCAGAGCAGCAGGGCCTCCCCACAGGACGGGCTCTGCCTGGCTTCTTGGTGATGAGAAAGTCAGCTTCACCCCAGGATCCCTCCTGTCTCCTTCCTGCAGCTCCCTGGGGCGATGCGGGCACCAGGGAGCTGAACTTCAACTCAGGGAGCTGGGTGTGTGTGTGTGTGATGTGTGTGTGCTCATCTGTGTGCATGTGTGTGCATTATTGGAGATTAACACAGGGATGCTCTTCCACTGAGCAACATCCCCAGCCCTTTTAATTTATTTAGAGACAGCACGTCTAAATTTCCCAGGCTGGGCTTGAAATTGCAGTCCTCCTGCCTCAGCCTCCCAAATCTTGGGACTAACAGGTGTGTACTACCACTGGCATACTTTGGAGTCAGGACAGACTGGCATGTACCCTGTCCTACCAGGGGTGCTAGAACCCTAACCCCTGGGAAGCAGGGTGCAGGAGGGACTCCAAGTTGCCATGGTTTGTGCCCTGTGGCATTTTTATGCAGAAAAACTGATTTTTTTTTTTTATTGTATGTTAGCTATTGAAGCCATGAGTTAAAAGCTTTAACTTATAAAGCTGCAGTTTAAAAGCCTTTTCCTCTCCTGAGCTTTACATTTAGTGTACAGATCATGTTAGACTCTATAAATATAGCAAATTTGAAAAAAAAAAATGTTTTTTTTTTGAGACAGGGTCTCAATATGCAGCTCAGGCTGGCCTTGAGCTCACTTTGTAGCCCAGGCTGGTCTTGAACTTGCAACGATCCTCCTGCCTCAGCCTCCCCAGTGTTGGGATTATAGGTGTGCACCACTCTGCCTGGCTTTTGAACTCTTTCACATACTTCCTGAGTCCATGTCACTTAGGGATAATAATGTGTGATGTGAAGCTTGAGTTTTGGTTGTTACACGTGGCTTTCTGATCATTCTTTCTCCTCCACTGCCCTGGCACATCCTTTTTATAGGACAGACAGGGGAATCAGGATTGCCCGCCAGGCAAGGCCTCTGCTGCTGAGCTGCACTCCCGGCCCAGGGCCAAGTTTTTGTTGCCATGTCGCTGTCCACTTGTGGGACTCCTGCTTTTGCACACTTAGCAGGCTTTTTTTTTTTTTTTTTTTTTAACCTAGCAGACTTGTTTTGTTGAGAAAGGGTCTCCCTATTAGTTCAGGCTGGCCTTGAACTCATGGCAATCCTCCTGCCTCAGCCTCCTGAGTGTTTTGATTATAGTTGTGTGCCACCATGCTGGGCAACTTAGTGGTCTTTTGAGTTCTAACACTGCAGCACTACCTGGGAGGATGAGACCCAGGGCACAGTGCAAGCCAGGGGCCTCCAGTGACCTAGGCGCTATTGGAGACCTGGGAGCCCAAGGGTGCTTCTGGCTCTCGGAGGGGCCAGGGGTGGCTCTGCTGGTGATGGGAGGGAGGGACCTGTCGAGGGCAGAAGCCATGGAGATGACAGGGTTGTGGCAAAGATGAAAAATCCAGTGTGGCAGACGCCGGGTCACTTGGGAAACTGGACAGCGGGAAAGGGTGTTCTGGGCCACACAGGACCCCTCCAGGGCTTGTCAGGGAGTCACCCAGTCGCGTGGTGACCATGCGGGAAATGCGAAAGCCTGGGGCTGGGTGAGCTGCTGGCCGGTGCCAGGGTGAAGAGGCTCGGTCGGGTGGGCAGGAGAATCTACACTGCTTAGACCCGAGTGAATGGAGCAGGCCAGGTACGGAGGGTGCAGGAGGGGCCGAACACGAGTGAGTGTCAGGCCGGGCCTGTGGTGCACACCTATAATCCCTGCACTGGGGAAGCTGAGGCAGGAGGATCTCCACAAGCCCAGGAGTTTGAGGGCAGGCATAGCCCACTCTAACTTCCTAACCTATGCAGGCTCCTGCTGGGAGAGTGGCAGAGGCGGACAGGACAGCGGGCCTCATCTACTGCATCACTTGTCATTCGCGTCTCACCACACCCTTGCTCGGATCTGGCAGAGGAAGAAATGAGTTTGGGCAACACTGGGTAGCATTCTGAACACTGCAGGGACGCGGCAGCCCAGGATGTATAAATCCCCCCTCGAGACCCCGAACAATGACTTCTCGAGGGTGCATTTTAGTCCAAGCATCGCTAGTGCCTTTGCCTATAGGGTTTCACCTAGAAACCAGCACCGTCTGCCCGCGGAGGGCGGAGTGCAGGGAGTGGGGCCCTGCAGGTACGGGCCTGGCCGGGCTCCTGCTCAAGGGCTTCCTTCTGGAGAAAACGCGAAGAGTGTGCAAGATATTTCGGGAAAGTAGGGCATTTTGAGACCATTTCATAACCGCTCAGGCGGGCGGGGGGAATCCTCACTGCGGCCTCGCCCGGCCCGGCGCGGCCTCGCGGACTGCGGGAGCCGGGGGATGCGGGCCCGGACCCGC